GAGGATGAGGATGAGGATGAGGATGAGGATGAGGATGAGGATGAGGATGAGGATGAGGATGAGGATGAGGATGAGGATGAGGATGATGATGATGATGATGATGATGATGATGATGATGATGATGCTGATGCTGATGCTGATGCTGATGCTGATGCTGATGCTGATGGTGGTGGTGGTGGTGATGGTGATGGTGATGGTGATGGTGATGGTGATGGTGATGGTGATGGTGGTGATGATGATGATGAGGAGGAGGAGGAGGAGGATCATGCGGAGGAGGAGGAGGAGGACCTGTGCGAACAAAAGACTCATCAACGGTGTTGGAGTAAACCCTTCCTCCAAGATCCACTGAAGGAACTGCCTCGTTGGGACACAATCGTTTGAAGACCCTGAAGCGTGCTGAAGCACCATCCTCGGGGCTCCAACGCCACGGACCAACCTGGCTGTTGCGTCTTGACGGTCCTGACTCGTCCCAGAACACCATTCTTGGGACTTCAACAACCCAAATGAACGCAACTGTTGCACCCTCACAATCCTGAGTCCTTCCAAAACACCATGTCTGGTACGTTGGCGATGCGAATCCGTGAAACGTTGGCATGCTTTGTCGAACGAGTGTGCGCGGCGGTAAGGCGAGAGCCACATTTTGAAAACCACCCGCCCTCAATCCGCGAAACTTGTGCACATGATTCAAACGAGTGTGCGCGGAGCTAGGGCGAGAGCCACATGTTGAAAACCAATCGCCCTCAATCCGTGAAGCTCTTGCAACAATTGCGTGGTTCAGACGAGTGCGCGCGGCGCGAGAGAACCATATGTTGAAAACGAGCCGCCCTCAGCCCGTGAACTCTTGCAAATGTCTCAAACGAATGTGCGCGGCGCTCACGCGAAAGCTATATTTTGAAAGCGACCCTCCCTCCATGTGTGAAACTGTTGCATGCTTTTTAGCGTCAGAGTCATAAGTGGTGAGGAGGTCTCAGGCCAAACGCCCGGCCCGCCCTTTCGACTGGCCTCGGGGCGCGACTGGGAGGAGTTATCTGCAAGGAAAAGGAGGAGGAGGAGGGCGGAGGAGGAAGAAGAGGAGGAGGAGGAGGACGAGGAAGAGGAGGATCTCGAGGAGGATCATGAGGAGGATCATGAGGAGGAGGAGGAGGAGGAGGAGGAGGAAGAGGACCAGTGCAAACCCAAGGATCACCAACGACATTGCAATACCGTCCCTTCAAATTCCTCTTCACATGCCCCTACAAGGATCAATTTTCACTGACGGAAGTGCGCTGTTTGAAAGCAACCGTTTGAAAGTCCTGATCTGTGCCAGAACACTATTCTTGGGTTACCAATCCCGCGAATCACCTTTACTGTTGCGTCTTGACGATCCTGAGTCGTGCTAGAACGCTATCTTTGGGATTCCTACACCACGAATCAACGTTTCTGCCGCGCCTTGACAGTCTGACATCGTGCCAACACACCATTTCTGGGACGTTAACCATTCGAATCTTTGAAACTGCAGTAAGCATTTGAGACGAAGCTGCGCGGCGCGAAGGCGAGACCACATTTGGAAAAGGAGCCGCCCTCCATCCGTGAAGCTCCTGCACATGCTTAACACAAGCGTGCGCGGCGCCCAGGCGAGGGCACCCTTCCAAGAACGGCGTGCCCTCCACCCGTGCAGCTCTTGCACATGTCTCGAACGAGGGTGCGCGGCGCTCCAGCGAGAGCCACCTTTTGAAGACCACCCGCCCTCCGTCCGTCGAAATGCTGCCATGTCTTGTGACGGATGTGCGTGGCCGCTCAGGCGAGAGCCACATCTTGAAAGCCACCCTCCCTCCGTGTGCGAGATCGTCGCAAACTTTAGGCTTCAGGGTCATAGAGGGTGAGGGAGTCTCAGGCGAGACGCCCGGCCCGCCCTTTCGACCGGCCTCGGGGTGCGACAGGGAGGAGTTGTTTACAAGGAAGAGGAATGGAGGAAGAGGAGGAGGAGGGAGGAGGATCATGAGGAGTCGGAGGAGGACGAGGAGGAGGAGGAGGAGGAGGAAAAGGAGGAGGAGGAAATGGAGGAGGAGGAGAGAGAGGAAGGAGGAGGAGGAGGAGGGAGAGGGAGGAGGAGGAGGAGGAGGAGGAGGAGGAGGAGGGAGGAGGAGGAGGAGGAGGAGGAGGAGGAGGAGGAGGAGGAGGGAGGCGGAGGAGCGAGGAGGTCCCCGCCTGACGCTGCCGCCCACAGAGGCAGCTCGGCCTCTCCGCGCACTCGCAGGCGGCCACGGGCCGGGCCGCCTCGGCGCGGGACGCCGGCATCTACTCCGAGGACCCCGCGCCGCCACGGCCCCGCGCCGCGGAGGAGGGGAAAAAACGCACAGGCACAATGAATCGTCGACTCCCAGGAAAATAACCTCATGCCCGTGAGAATAAAAAAGTTCAGGCGCGCGCGGGGATAGATACAAATATAACATACGGATAAAATACGAGATAAGTGTGATCGCTTCGCTTGATGTTGCTATATCAACATCGCTTGATGTTGCTATCTCAACATAGCGTTTCGAGGTGATAATGAAGTTCGGCCTCAGCGCTCGCCGCCCAATTTGAGTTTTGTATAGGGCGACGATAATCAACTCTAAACACTGATGGGGGGGGGGGTCCCTTTATTATCATCGGCATGCGGTTATATGGGGAAATATGGGCAGTGGGGGGGGGAAGACAAAAACCCAGAGAAAGTATGGGGAAATAGGGGGGCTCCTGTTGTCTGGGTGCAGTTTTATGTGTGTGTCCCGGGGCCCCCTCGTCCACGGATTGGTCGGACTGCCCGCGCGCTAAACGAAACCAGGTTGGCTGTCCCGAAGTGGCGGCGCTGCAGCCAGCAGC